GTATCTAATATAAGCTAAAATTATCAGAATTCAAGGTAAAATTATCTAATATAAGCTAAAATTATCAGAACACAAGCTGAAACTGTCTAATATAAGCTAAAATTATCAGAACTCAAGGTAAAATTATCTAATATAAGCTAAAATTATCAGAACACAAGCTGAAACTGTCTAATATAAGCTAAAACTATCAGAATACAAGCTGAAAGTATCTAATATAAGCTAAAATTATCAGAATACAAGCTAAAACTACCTAAAATAAGCTAAAATTATCAGAACACAAGCTAAAACTACCTAAAATAAGCTAAAATTATCAGAACACAAGCTGAAAGTATCTAATATAAGCTAAAATTATCAGAACACAAGCTAAAACTATCTAATATAGGCTAAAATTATCAGAACACAAGCTGAAAGTATCTAATAAAAGCTAAAATTATCAGAACACAAGCTGAAAGTATCTAATAAAAGCTAAAATTATCAGTACACAAGCTGAAACAATTTAATATAAGCTAAAATTATCAGAACACAAGCTAAAACTATCTAATATAAGCTAAAATTATCAGAATACAAGCTGAAACTATCTAATATAAGCTAAAATTATCAGAATACAAGCTAAAACTACCTAATATAAGCTAAAAATATCAGAACACAGGCTGAAACTATCTAATATAAGCTAAAATTATCAGAACACAAGCTGAAACTATCTATAAGCTAAAATGATCAGAACACAAGCTGAAAGTATCTAATATAAGCTAAAATTATCAGTACACAAGCTGAAACAATTTAATATAATCTACAATTATCAGAATACAAGCTAAAACTACCTAATATAAGCTAAAAATATCAGAACACAAGCTGAAACTATGTAATATAAGCTAAAATTAACAGAACACAAGCTGAAAGTATCTAATATAAGCTAAACTTATCAGAACACAAGCTGAAACTATCTAATATAAGCTAAAATTATCAGAACACAAGCTGAAACTATCTAATATAAGCTAAAATTATCAGAACACAAGCTGAAACTATCTATAAGCTAAAATTATCAGAACACAAGCTAAAACTATCTAATATAAGCTAAAATTATCAGAATACAAGCTGAAACTATCTAATATAAGCTAAAATTATCAGAATACAAGCTAATATGTGAATATCACAAGCTTAAAACACCACAATAGAAAGTATAACAATCAGAACACTAGCTAAAATAAGAATAAAATAAGATAAAATTATCAAAAAACAAGCTATAATGATCAGGACATGACCCAAAATGAGAACAATACAAGCTAAAATATAAATAGCAGAAGCTAAATTGAGCAGAATGTTAGCAAACATTTAAAAAAACACAACAGCAAAAGCTACAATTAAAAATGGTACCTTTTTAATTGTAAAACCAGAAGTAGCTTAAAGCTAAAACTAGCAGAATAGTAGCAAAAAAAATTAGGAAAACTGAAAGCTGCCCGGCCAAAAACAAAAGTAGCAGTTTTTAAGTAGACAAAAACTGTAGTAAAAGCTAAAACCAGCAGAGTGCTAACTGAAAGTAGCAGATTTAGAGGAGTTTTGAAGGAGTTGAAAAGATCTGAACGTGTTTCTTTGAGGATTATTATTTTTTTAGTAAATAAACATAAATATTTTTGAAAAGTCCAAACAGTCTGAACGGTTTTTGTGCCGCAGCCATCCGGTTCGGTCGCATGCCTCACACAGAGAAGCTGAAGCTGAAGGAGGAAAGCAGGGTGGTGGAGACGGCGGTGGAGAGCCCCGTCAAGGCCGACCACAGGATCCTGGTCAAGCAGATCCACGAAGCCTACGTCAAGAACTTCAACATGAACAAGGCAAAAGCTCGGCTCATACTGACCGGAAAAACCAACAAACCGGTACAAAAAAACAAAACAACAAGATCAGCTTTGTCACTTTTTATGGCTCGATRCGTCACCTCTGCTTACGTCTCCTCCGACTTCACCTGCAGCCTTTCGTCATTCACGACATGGAGACGTTCCAGCTCGCTGAGAGGACGCTGGCGGTCCACTTGGTGACGTTTGAGTGTCCCGACCCCACGGGGGACCCTSAAGCCGGACGGGCGAGTCCAGCTTTGGACGGGGAGGAGCTCCAGCAGAGCGAGGCTGAAGCGCGGCTCTTCCACTGCTGCCAGAGCACCTCCGTGGAGACGGTGACCGAGCTGACGGAGTTCGCCAAGGCCGTGCCGGGCTTCCAGAGCTTGGACCTAAACGATCAGGTGAGGACACGTCTTTCCTGAGAGGGGTTAAAGATTTTAAAAGCCGCTCGGATTTTCACACGTTTTCCTGTTCTTCTTTAAAGGTGACGCTCCTGAAGTACGCCGTCTACGAAGCCCTGTTCACCCTGCTGGCCTCGTGCATGAACAAAGACGGCCTGCTGGTGGCGCGCGGCGGAGGATTCATCACCCGAGAGTTCCTCAAAAGCCTCCGGCGGCCGTTCGGCGACATGATGGAGCCGAAATTCCAGTTCGCCACGCGGTTTAACTCCCTGGACCTGGACGACAGCGACCTGGCCCTTTTTGTGGCAGCCATCATTTGTTGTGGAGGTATTTTTATTTTTTTATTTTTTTATTTTTACTTCAACAGCTAAATTTGAAGATCTTGTTACGATATTATTGTTTTTTTCCCCGCCGGCTCAGACCGACCAGGTTTGGTGGACGTACCTCTGGTGGAGCGACTGCAGGAAAGCATCGTTCAGGCTCTCCGCTGCCACCTGCTGGCCAACCACCCAGACGACGCCTTCCTCTTCCCCAGGCTGCTGCAGAAGCTGGCCGACCTGCGCGAACTGGTCACGGAGCACGCCCAGCTGGTCCAGGAGATCAAGACGACGGAGGACACCTCGCTGCACCCGCTGCTGCAGGAAATCTACAGAGACATGTACTGATTAAAACAGCGACGCTCGCGTCTCGTTTTCAGCTTCCGGGGGTGAAAACAGTTTAGTTTCAGGATTCAAAGGCAGCTCGTAATGGCTCCTTCAGAGACGTTAGATCTTTTAGAGCTTAACCCACAGCCGTGTAAAGATGTTTTATATTATTTCTGACACGAGCTGCAGCCGTTTGACTCCTGAATGTCACRCATTCTATAAAAACTGAACAGGATTTCACAAGAGTTTGCACAGCAATAAAAAATATGCCTGTTTTATGCAAGAAAACTGAACTTGAAAGCCTTTTCTAGATGTTTTTTGTGCAGGATAATTTATTCAAACTTGCCAAATCTTCATGTTTTTCTTCTCTGAGGTTAGAGGTTAAAGAAGCACCTGAATGATTCAGTCACGTGCCACAAATGTGTGCTTCCTGAGCTCCGGTTTCATGAAATAATTTTACATTTACTGTAATTTACACTTACTGTGAATTTCTATTAATACTATATTATTGTGTTTGGAAGCCAGACGCATGACAGCTCACCTTTAATCAGATTTTTTTAACCTGTTGTTTGGTCAGTATTAATATTTCTACAGAAAACACTATTTTTTGTCGAACTGGTTTGTAGTATTTAATAAATAAGAGTCTGATGATCGCAGTGAAAGGGATTTATGACTCTTCAGATTGCAACAAAATAGGAAATCTGTTGGTTTGTTTTCTGTTATTAGACTGAATCAGCATCCGTGTTGTAATGAAATGGTTTATATATTTTCGTATCATGTAAAGCACGTATAATTGCATTAATTGATAAAAAAAAAAAACAGTTTCATTTGCTGAACTCACATATTAAGTTACTGACAGAATGAAGACAACTAAGAACTATTCATTAAAACACATTGAAAAGATTTTTGTGTATTTTTTTATCTTTCTTGAAATTTTAAACTTTTTTTTCCTTGTTTCATCGCTTGATCTGATGATTTTATTTCCTAATTGTTTTTCATGATCATTTTATTTGTAAGCATGGATAAGTGTATTTTCTAAGTTTTAGTCAGTAATTTTATACCGATGTGTAATTATTTTAGTTTATCTGACCTAAAAGTATCTTTCTGGGTCACTTGAGCTCAATTTATAAGCTGCCCTAATTCATTTGTCTATCTTATGGGTTCAAATGGGTGTTATTCTCCCTCCAGGCCAGGTGGTGGCGCTGCGCACTCAGAACAAGATGGCCTGACTGAAACACGCTAACCGGCGGGAGCCAGCTTTTTAACATAAACGATGGCTACTGAAAACTCTCAAAATACGTTTACATGCCAGTTGTGTGGTTTGAGTACTGCGTTTACTTACTACGGCCAGAAACCACCGAACACCAGAGCCATCGTGTAAGTTACAAAGAAGCATTTCGCTCTGAAGCTAGATATGCTAATGTGCTAACATTATGCTACCGCTAACATGCTAGCATGGGATGTTTACGTGTGAAACAAATGATCGTTAAAATGATCCAGATTTGAGCCTGAACACAGCTTGTTGTCCTTTAGGTTGCTTGAGGAGTGTTTTGTGACTAAAGATCCGTTCAGTCCGGACAAGGAGAAGTTCCTGGTGTTGGGTTCTAMCTGCACTTTGTGCAGGAAGTGTGTCTGTGTTGGATCGGTGAGCTTTGTTTGTGTTTGTCACAAACACAACATGCTAATTCTGATGATAAATAAATAAGAAAATTTCTTATTTTCTTGAATATAAAAAGTTTATATCAAAAACTACATAAGCTTTTTTATAAAATACAAGATTTTAAACACAAAAAATTAAGATTTTAGCCTCTGCTCAAGATTTTTTATTTTTACATTCACTTTTCAATAAAACATTAAATGATCGTTCCAAAAAGAAATATAAATATAAAAAAATATATGTGTACTAGTTCTCATACASCCACAGTACTAAGATACTGATTATGCAGACGATTCAGTATCAATGTTTTTAAAGTTATTGTGTTTTCTGATAATGCTGAGTTGTTAAAGAAACCAAACAGTGGCTAAAATCAACAACCTTGTAGCTTAAAAGCTACATTAAAAACTGTTGCTAAAACTTACAAATAACAAATTTGTATCTAAAGATAGATTTTTAAAAAATTGACAAAACTATAGCAGAAGATGAGCAAAACTGTTGCCAAAAGTTAAAAAACAAAACTACAGCTAAAAGCTAACGTTAGTTAAGAAATGTATTTAGCAAAGTAGCTAAAGATTAAAATGATCGAAACTAAAGACAACGGCTGTGAATAACTAAACAGTAGGCACAAGCTATACTTAGCAAAACCTTTGCTAAAGCTGAATTGTTAACTAAAAGCTACATTTAGCACAATTGTTGCTAAAAGCTAAACATTTGTAAAACTGCTGCTTTTTGAGAAAATTGTAGCAGAAAGATAAAATGAGCAATAAAACTGGGGCCAAAAGTCATAAAGCTAAATTGTAGCTGARCCTATCAAAACAATAGCTAAAAGCTAGGATGAGTGAAAGCATAAATAGTGATGATTAGGTAGATTGCAAAAACACTAGCTTTGCTACATTTGACAGTTAAAATGTTTTTTTTAATGTATTTAATATTTTTGTTGCATGTCTAGCCTTTGTGCATTAAAAAAGTTGATTTGTATATTTAATCGTTTATTTGATCAAATGTTCTCAGTGAAAATTACAAAACTACTGTTTCTCTTGTTTCCTGCTCAGGACTGCAGTCTGTTCTACACCAGGCGGTTCTGCCTGCAGTGCGTGAACCAGCACCTGGACCAGTTCCCCCTTCAGATTCGGGCCGAGCTGGCGAAGAAGTCGTCGAGCTCAAAGCCCGCCGTCTTGTGACACGGCGAGATCCACGACGCGCTCGGCCGACCGCAGACAAAGCTTTATGCACGTTTGATGGTAAATGAAGCAGAGCTGTGAAAGCGTAAAAGTGTTTTCACTGTGGCGCAAAAAAAAAAACAAGACTATTTGCATTATTTTGCATTTGAAAGTTTTTCTTTAGTTCATTGTTTTGTAACACAGTTTTAGAATTATCTGTATTATTCCCCCCAAAACCTCAGTAAAACTGCAACAAATATACTTATGCTAATATACTTTTGTCTCTAAAAGGAGTTCTGTTTCTGAAAACAAAAAAACAAACAAACCCACGTTTCCTCTCGAGCAGCTGTTTGCGCTCATGAGACCTCCACACCAAACCGCTCTTCTTGCCTCATTTCTTACTTTCCTATCTAATCAGAGGGTGATCAGAATCTGCTTTGGGTTCAAGGATCAGTCCGTACAAGGCCGCGCCGTTTACAGCAGCATAAACACATTATGGATTAAGTGTGGTCCTGACCCGATAACATCTCTGCAGCAGATGGCCCRGCTGGATTCATCACGAGATGTTTGGAGTCTTTGCAGAGGGTAAATTGAAGCAGCATGGCCTGAAAGGCCGACGAGCCGATCGCTTTACAGGCAGAGAGCTGCAGAGGAATCCAGATGACACTCAGAGGGGTGTGTGTGTGTGTGTGTGTGTGTGTGTGTGTGTGTGTGTGTGTGTGTGTGTGTGTGTGTGTTTGTGTGTGTGTGTTTGATTGAACAGTTGCGTATTTGCCTGAATGCTGAGTCAGAGTTCAGACTTTTGTTTTCCTCCTTTTTTTATTCATGCACATTTTTTTGTGCTTTCTATTCTTGTATCAAAACATTCGGCTCATTCAAGAGATGAATGCTTCAGCTTTTTGTTTTTGTAATCTTTCTGTGTGCCAAAAAACTTAACTTTATTTACAAATTTTCCACATAGAAGTAAATTAAGATAAGTTAAAATAAACTTTGTTTTATTTAAAATCTGCTTCAGATAACTTTTGGTCTTTTACAGTAATAGCATACGTCTAATTAGTTTCTTAYTAGCATTATGCTACTTTTAGCTTTGTGTAACTTTCAAATACCTTTTTGCTATTTTAAGCTAACCTTTTGCTACTTTGAACTTTTAGCAAGCCCTTTGTTACCTTTTAGCTTTTAGTTCGTCCTTTGTTGCTTTTAGCTTCTAGCTCATTTTCTGATATCTTAAGCTAACTTTGGTTCCTTTAGCCAGCTTTTTGCTACTTTTTGCTGTTCATTACCTTGTGATGCCCTCTTCTTTCAAAACTTTTAGCTTTAGTTAACTTTTTACATTTTAGCTATATTTTTGCATTTATAGCTGTTAACCATCCATTTGCTACATTTAGCTTTTAGTTAGCCTTCTAATACTTTTAACTTCCAGCTAACTTTGTAGCTAACCTTCTTTTAATCTTTTGTAACATATAGCTTTAAAACATCTTTTTGTTAATTTTAGCCTTTAGCAAGCCTTTTACTACATACCAATTTTAGTCAATCTTTTGGTATTTTTGGCTAGCCTTTTGCAACAGTTAGCTTCTAGCTAGCCTTTTGAAACATTTTGGTACCTTTAGCTTTTAACCATTTATTTTTGGCATGTAAAAAGCACTTTACTACTTTTTAGATTTTAGCTAGTTTGGGTACTTTTAGCCAGCTCTTTTAGTCTTTTAGCATTTTGCTACTTGTAGCTTGTAGTTATTTTGATGCTTTTAGCTAGCCTTTTGTTTTATCTTCCTCCATCTGTTAGCTACTTTTAGCTTTTAACTAGCATATTGTTTATTTTAGCTTTATGCTAGGCTTCTGCTTATTTAACAACAGTTTCAGGTTTTTCAGCAGTTAGCGTTCACATAGCATTTTTTGAGCTAGTTAGCTTAGCATGTTTCAGTGAGCATGCTAACATATGATACACCATGTTCACAGATATATAAAATAAGCTCTAWAAATTATATTTGGTTTTTTATCTTTAAATGTCTCTTTATGGTAAAGCAGCCCCCCTCCCCCGAAACACATCCTGCCCGAGGGCCCCCAGATGTCCCGAGCCGGCCCTGCTCGTGTTTAAATTATAAGCTCACATGAGCAAATTACAGCAAGTGAAGCACAAACTTCCCACTTCCCCCGTGGCACCGGTCCAAAGTCTGACAACGATAGGCACACGGCCAACCATGACGGAAGACCTCTGATGTCATCGAAGTCAGTAGTTGAAGCTATTTTTTAAAGTTGTACGTTCACACTGCAGGTCTTCATGCTCAGTTCCGATTTTTTGGAAAAAAAAATCAGATTTTTTGGCATGAACGTTCACATTACATTTTAAATGTGACCTGCATCAGACCCCTGTGTGAACGCTACACAGCACTGATGTGACACGCATGCGCAGYAAAAGACGTGACGTCTCATCAGCCGGCTTGTTTTTTTACAGAGCTAGCATGGATGCTACATTTTGTACATCGAATCTGAAGTTGTTGTTTTAATCAGAGCCGATTAAATAATTATCTGACATGCTTGTTTAGTTCAGTGTTTTATATCTGAACCAGCCTCTGACCAGGTTGCTCCAGTGAAGCTTTTTTTTTTTTTTTTT